GTAAAAGAATTTAGAAAAAAGGTATTATTGGCTTCTCTGGTTTATTAAAGCTACGTTTCATATTTCTATTGAAAATAGTAGACAGAATAGACTATAGACTATTGAGCTGTGACTTACAGCTGAGAGAATGGTGGCCCCGTGGGTGATAAAAACTTCAAAAGTATACCGGATTCTGACCAGTTGGCGGTTCTTCAGGCTCGCCCGGGTATCCGTCCAAGAACTCTGCAACCAGTTAGCTATCTTGGTTAGAGACGACTTACCTTGATGACTAGAATCCACTAGTAACCAATGACGATGAGTGACCGAGAAGGATCTGTGAAACGCAATCACAATACGGTACTTAGTACAGATCAATAGTCCAAGGTTAGTCTGCCAATTGAGTACGTGTACAGTATACTCGTAACTCAATTGTTAGATAGTGCGAACGAGTTGAGCTGGTAACAATATAGAATGTGGCTATCAAGTAACCGAGTAGATTGATTACGAAGAACTAAACTAAGTATATAAATAAGTGTCCTTATATATATCCCTAGCTATCTACTCCCATCGTGACTCCCTCTGGGGTAGGTTCTGGAGTAGGTGTCACGTGATGGGACTGGTATCAGCTATTTGTTAGCCGTGTCGTCGGATACTCTCTTAGCTCTATAACCGTTCCTTGGTGATCCAGGATCCTGCGGCTGCTTTCAGCTCTTATCGTCCTATGGTTTTCTGCCTTGTGTGTCCGCTTCCGATAAACGTGCGCTAGACAAGGGTCTGTAACACATGTGACATGCCTCATGCTGATGCAAAACCAGTTGGCAGATCAAGTGCCCACTGCCCAGTTGTACTAATCTGGTGTAATCATTTAGGTATTCTTGAGAACAAAGACATAACTAGTCAATAGATAATTTTTAATTAGTAGTCACCTAGTCACCTAGTACATTTTACTGTTCAGTATTTTGTTGGCTCTTTATTTGATTCTTTTGGTAAATAGATACTGTGCCGGAATGGTCGGGTGGGCCCGTGGCCGGCCATGGCCCAGTGCCAGAGATTCAGAGAACTTTTGATGTCCCGGACTCTCGATCGCATCTCACTGTTCACAAGCAACAACTTACAACTTACGAGTCCTGCGATGTAAGCGATACTTGTATGCGGTATACCATTGGGGTATATATTATATGGCTGTACTGTCCCTATATAGTAGTAAGTTGAAAGTTCCATTATTCCATATATAGAAAAATTCATGGGCCATGGCCCATAAGTATAACCACGCAGTATAAGTCTATTCTAGAAAAACAAATCCGTGCCGGATTTTCGAGGTTTATTTCGACATCAAAGTTGGGTGGGTCCTGATTAGTCATCCATTATCAATGCCAAACAAGCACAGAAATAATATATAGACATCTTTCAGCAGCTCTACAGGCTCCACCAATGCCTCTATTTTAATTTTAAAAGTAGAATCATGTTTAGGGAAATCTACTTTGTATGTTTAAATAGTTTGGATTATATATTTATCGAGCTTGGTAGAAGCCCGTGTTGATTGGTCAATTTTGGTCATTTCGACTGGCAGCGCCCAAGACAGTGCGAACGGGCGAAACCAAACGGCCTAAAACCGTCTGGTTTTAGGTTCTTTATACAATATTAGAATGGTTCCTAACCCCCTGCAAGCTATGACCTACCTTCTGACTAGGAGATAGAGGTACAACGAGTAGATGATAAATTATAATATAGGAAAATCGCTAAATCCCTTAAGCATCGTTTCTCTTTTCACATTTCATTATTTGAACTTGAAAGAACTAGTTAGATTCTGTCATTCTGATGCCTTTTCATTGTCAACAATCCATTTTTGATATCAAAGATCATGACTAAGCAACAAGAACGCCACAATAGGCTTAGCCCCATCAACTAGCGCCAGTCTTAGCGTTGTGGGATCCAAATCCAACTCTCCTGATCTTCATCCCTATGTCCATGACTCCATGCAGAACATGCCTTCCTGAAGTTCCTTTTGACATTCTCTCTGGCCTCTTCAAGCCTCCAACCGGCCTTTTTCTCGGCCTATTTATTCCTAATTTCTCTATTTCCAGCTCTATCTCGCTCTGCCGGTCAAGATGGTCATCGATTTAACTGGAGATTCTGATTCTGAAGACCAGATCCGCTCGCAGGTCAGTGTTTTATTTCTGGTGATTTCAGAGACCGCGGATTTAGACCCGGACGTGTTATTGTCAACAAACCTAGTATTTTATAGCCACAACACCCAGCTAGTATGGCCACTGCTATATACTACACTGCCATCATGAATCGTCAATTATGGTATCCCCTTACTTTGGATCATTCTGAGTAGTCGTTATTCTATTTAACCCCCCGCTTTCATTTGTGCTTAGAATCTTCATGTCTTACCGTACGATAACTACAAATTTCTGTGTTATTTAACTGTCCGAATCTTCTCCATTTTCATTCACTCTTTTTGGACCTTCACCACACGTCCTATTTGATGTCTTTCAACTAATGTCAAATTTAGCTGCACTCAAACATTCAATCGGCCACACCCACCTTTCTCACCCACTTAGCACATCGGACACCGTCATCGTCGGTCCCTTCGAAGAGAAAGTCGGAGAAAAGTCCAGAGTCAGAGCTGTACGAAGCCTTTTTCAACTTCAAGAAAAGACCTTCAGCGCCCTCAGTTGAATCCTCTGCGGTTTCAAGTTCTGGCTACTATCAGGACAACAAGCCGAATGGCTCTTCCACAGCTACAAAGCTCCAGCCTAGCACTCCGAGCCCAGGTCCGTTCATCAAGGAGCAGAGTCTGCCGGCACGTGCCGTCAGTGTTGTAGTCCCTTCTCCATCCCGAGAGCTGAAGAAGGAAATTGAGTCTGCCAAGTGGGCATCAAGCTCTCGAAGTTGTACCCCTAAGCTGAAGGGAGTCTTGGAGAAATTCTACCCAACTAACGCACATGTAGAGCGCGGCCGTAAGGGTGCTTACCCAGCAGCGAGGATAGTCAACCGTGCTGCGATCCCTCTGCCTATTGGCACACCCGGGCCCATCTTACAGAAGAGACCAGAGGCCCTTGATCAGCAGTACCGCACTCTAGAACGCAAGCTTTCTACGATCAAGGGGCCTAAGATCACCGTTGCGCCAGCTGATGGACCAAAGCTCGCAAAAGTTACCGCAAATTTTGAGTTCATTAATAGCTACAAACTTCACAAGGGGGTTTCTCCCGCTCCAGCTGAATTCATTGGGGGCTGCAGCTGTGGTAAATACTGTGATCCTAAGAGGTGCCCGTGCTCTGAAAAGGAGGACGATTCGACTGACAACATCATTCCGTACCAAAGAGCCAGGGACCGCCCAGACCTTCTAGTCCTGACTCCAGAATTCCTGGAGCGCACCGCAATGATCTTTGAATGTGGTGCGCAGTGTGCCTGCGATAAGAACTGCTGGAATCGGGTTGTTCAGCGTGGCAGGACTGTGGAACTCGAAATCTTCCACACTGGAAATCGCGGCTTTGGTAGGCCCACCTCCTCTCTTTATTGCAGTAACCAGCAAAGAAATTCTGCTAACATTCACTAAATAGGACTGCGGTCTCCCAGTTATATCAGAGCGGGCCAGTTTATTGACTGCTATCTAGGAGAAGTTATTACCAAACAACACGCAGATATTCGCGAAGAGATTGCCGTGAAAAATGGCCATTCCTATCTCTTTGGACTCGACTTCTCTCCCGAAGTTGATGAAGAAGACATATATGTCGTGGATGGACAGAGGTTCGGCTGTGCAACTCGTTTCATGAACCACTCCTGCAGACCAAACTGCAGGATGTTTACCGTCACAAACACAATCGGGGACGAGCGTCTCTATAATCTGGCTTTCTTCGCCTTGAGAGACATCCCACCGATGACCGAATTAACCTTTGATTACAACCCTGGCACCGAGAGAAGCAAACATGTGGACTCTAGTGTCGTCGCTTGCCTGTGTGGAGAGGATAACTGTCGAGGTCAACTCTGGCCGAGCAAACGCAAGGGCACCAAATAAACTCTATGATCCTTTCGCCTCACACCCTATCCATTCATCTGTCCCCTCACCTCACATATTCATTTCCGACACCCCTTTCCACTACCATCTCAGACTTCTTTTGTATGTACCATACGCATTGCATTCAGCGTCTGCGTTGCATTGGGAGCGTTTGCACAACCATACCCGGCGTTTCTATCGTTGATGAGCGATCTTACCTCCTTTTTTTCTTGCTCAAAAGTGCATATTCTACAGGATGAGGCTGGCCTTCTCCCCGACATAATCGACTATTCTCATGACATACTCTCGATTTCAACATGAACAACTGTCCATTGTCCAGCTGGGACTATCACGATACATGTTGTTTTACTGATATGTACTCGCCGAGGGACTAGATGCGTTCCTTTTGTCCTATTCTCTTTTTGAAATAGCCGAGCTGTTAAACTGCCTTCAGTTCACCTACGTTGTTAGAGGGCACCTTTCTTTTCGATCGTCAATTTTTCTATCCATGTTCTCTTGTCCTTACGTCTTTGTTTTTCTTGGCACATACTTGGGACTTCCCCCATGCAATTTGACCTGCGTCTTGATCGTCCTGTATTCTGTTTCTATCATTGGAGTTGGGCGATGCTTTTCTTCTTTTGTTGAGAGCCTGATTGAAGGATACCCCGGTACTGGCGCAGCACAACGTCCTCCAGTAGAACATGAGCTAGACACCTGAAATTAATCATGATCATCACAATTGCTGCTCCTTTACTGAAATAGACTACGATAATTCAAGATCGACTCCCAGTGATGTGAAATGAAAGATACGTAGTATATTCCATCATGGGCACTCATCTAATAAAGACTACCATATCACATCCATCCTTTCTATATCGAATCGGTAGACGCCGTTGACCGTTGACCCAAAACTCCAAATCAACCAATCAACCCAGTTGATAACACCTTGTCCGTATATGCAGCAGATAGCCAGCCACCCTTAATCGCTAATTAATATACCAAGTCGCTTCAGGGGTAGCGATAATAGCAAACGTAGAGTCAAGAAAGAGAGTAAAAGAAGAAGCAAGGTTAAGAAAGAAAAGACCGAAGGAAAGTGAGAAAGGAAGAGGGAGAAAGAGAGTAGAAGGGAGCGAATAAGGTCAAGCACGCCCCTCCATGACCTCGAATATACCGCCCATGACGAAGCGCGGCTGGGACACTTGCGAAGCCTGACTCTGGCCAGATGAGCGATCACCCGCGACAGAAGAGAAAATATTGGCATTCAGATCCATCGGGATCCCGACCGGGTCAACAGGGCGGGGCTCCATGAGGTCGAGACCTTGTCGCTCGATGGCGTCTTCATCACATCGGGTACGTTCCTCGCTGAGGGCTAAATCGACCTTGGACGGGCGATGGCGGAGGAAGACGAGCGAGGGCCGACGGAAAACGGATGACAGACGGAAGGGGCTCTGGCTACGACTGCCGGCGTCGCTGGCGTCGGAACGGGAGCCGGAGGTCGGGTGGTAACCACGGTTGAAGCGGCGGAATGGGGAGGTGGGCGACGAAGTGGGACTGTTGGTAGTGGAGCTGAGAGGGCTGGCCGTGGAATAGCCATCGCTGCACACGCGGTCTTGAGGAGGTTGGAACGATGTGTGCAGGGAGAGGCCGGGAGTCGAAGTGAGGTTGGGATGCATTTTTTTGGTGGGAGGGTGATTTAAGTTTGTTTTTTTTTTTTGGGATGAATGGGTACGGTCAAATGTGATCTGTTGAAAATCGAGGGTTGCCGTGCGACTCTTTTTAAGGTTGACGAACCCCGGGGGTCTTTTGGCCTCGTCTTGAGCGGGGGAGGCGATATTAAATTTAGGTTTTCGATGAGGTTTCAAATGAAGAGAGAATTGGTCCTAACCAGTTGTTGGTGGTTTGGAGCTGGCCTTGGACTGTGTTGTGACACGTAGAATGAATAGATGACCGGATCGCCTGGAAGAATGAATGGGCGATGGAATGCGAGCAGTTGACGGGATGAATGGATGGATGGGGGAGGGGGAGGAAAAATGGTATAGATCGCAAAGTAATGGCCAAACGAATGGATTATGGATCACCAGCAGGTCATCTCAGGCAGGTGAGAAAAATGAAGGATGGTCGAGATGTACAGTGAGATAACGATAATAGTAATAGTAGTAGTAGTAGTAGTAGTAGTAGTAATAATAATAATACGATCGACAGCTCACCCACACGGGACGGTAGCAAATGATTAGGGACGAGACAAAGCACCGTGAGAGATTAATGGATGGATGAAACAAATACAAAATCCCCCGACGGGAGAGAGTTCGGTGGATAATAATAAGAAATCAAATAAGATAGATATATCATCAATCGGCCAAGAGGGAGAGAAGGACCGACCGACAAGACGGAGAAGAGAGAAAGAGAAAAAAAAAAGAGAGTGAGTGGGAAGGAGGGAGAGGGAGAGGGAGAGAGAGAGAGAGAGAGAGAGACAGAGAGATAGGGATAGTCAAAAAAGACAGACAAGGAATAAATAACAGGATCCTTTATAAGGATCGGAGGATTTCCATCAATCTCCAGGATATTTATTCATCGATCGGAAATGCTCTGCAAGGATGAACTCGTGAGTGAGGAATCCATTCGACTCCTGCGCTCAGGTCGTCAATAGTTCATTCGTGCTCTGACGAACGCAGCGAAAATGGGATTGTTGATTGATCATTTCCATGGTTGGATTGAATTGCAGCTTCCGGGGAAAGCAAAAGCCAAAGTTTCGCTGCAAACGTCGTTGGAACTGCCCTTTCCGTCATTTCCAGGTACATCAGATTTCCATCCTACTTACTACTACTACTACTACTACTACGACGACGACGACGACGACGACTAATTAAATAAAAAATCAAAATTAACCAGAGAGAGAGAGAGAGAGAGAGAGAGAGAGAGAGAGAGAGAGAGAGAGAGAGAGAGAGAGAGAAGGAGAGATTTGGCTTTTTCTTTCCCCAATAGTCTCATCCTTACCGTGACCAAAGGGGCGTTTTGAAGGGCACACTATTGCTTCTTAGTCCCAATCCGGTAATCAGGGCTGCTTCTTCTTCTTCTTCCTTTTCTTCTTCTTTTCTCTTTTGAATAAAAACACATCTCTATTACTGAAATCTATCCACAACCATGAAATAGATCATAATCACTCAATTCTCCCTCGCGCCACCGCTATGCAGGTATCCAAGTCTAGCGGATTCAAACAATGATATCTGTACAAATCTTACATAACCAACGTCAAAAATCTTAAAAAAAAAAAAAAAAAGAATAAACAAAAGAAAGAAAAATGGAAAATTAACAAAGAATTCGTTATACACATACATAGTCAACGTTAGTCTCAAAAACTTCATCATAACATGACTCATACCCCCATCACCCAAAACTCCATCTTTCAGCTATCCCGTCGTCGACGCTGGGTGAAGCTCCGACGGATACTTTCACCCCAGACAGAGTCATCCAGCGATTGCATCACGTCTTGCGCACTCATAACACTGTTCTGCCGGGATCGCCCGGGAGCCAGAGACGACTCGTCATGCAGATCCGGCCCATCTCCATATGATGAAGTCGTATTTGCTCGAGCACGGTTCGGCGAGAGAGACGGGCTGATGCTGGACCATTCGGTAGGGGAATGCGTCGCCGACATGCGCCCAGCTAGAGCAGTGTCAATCCGTGGTAGGTGACCGGGCTGCGATGACGGGCCACCTTCCCCTCGTGTGGGTGAGAGGGGTGACAGCATGGGCTGGGACGACGATTCCTCATGATCATCACCGGTTTCTGGCACCGTCGCCCTCATTTCTTCTTCAGGATGGTCGTCCTGGGATCCATCGTCCACAAAAATTTCCGGCACCGTGAAGTTCGGCACCGCGGTCATCCGAGCAGATCGACTACGCTCGACTTGTCGGCGGAATTCCCGAGACCAGTAGAGGGTGTCGAAGAACCCAATGACCGTCTGTCGACGAACGGCTTCCTCGACGCGTTGGAGTCTCGCTCGTCGGCGCAAGAACTCTTCAAGCTTCAAGCTCTTGCTGTCATTGATCACGTTGTAATGTGCGAGAATCATGAGGCATGAGTGGAATGAGATGCCGCGCACTGGGTCCGCGGAAACCTTGACTTCCTCATAGAAAGTGTTGAGTCGTTGCCGGCGCCCACGGACATCGTCAACTGGGATACGTCGCAGAATCTTAGCCATCTTCTCAAGGTCTACCCCGTCGACCACCCTTCGGTGCCCGATCAGTGAGTCTCTTCTATCAACTCTACATTCCTCCAAGATGCGTCCGATCGTGAATTCATCGTCATATATGCGCATCGAAAAAACACCTGAGAGCTCCTGCAAACCATTTAGTGAGTTGGCCGAGGCATATGAGACATGGAGAAGAATCATAGAATGAAGGGGCAAAGGACATATAACTCACCCCCAGTAGTCGTGGGAATTGCTCTTTAGAGATATATCCGGTCCCGTCAGGGTCATACGTCGCCCAGGCTTGCTTGAAGCGGCGAATTTCCTCACGACTGATTGCATAGAGCCCGCTGCTTCTCTGATACACATACGAGAAGCTCTCAAAGATCAGCGACACGAACAACGAGACGAAGATATACATGCTAATAATGTTCCACGCAATGAAAAGCGTTCGAGCCCATGCCGCACTGCCGCAGTCGTCGTTTAAGAAGTCGTCGTTAGACGTACAGATCGGAGGTACCATTGTGGCAAAATCTTCCATAACTTGGTTCCATCCTTCGCCGCAGCTCATGCGGAAGAGCAGGATGAGCGACCTTGGAATATCTCGAAAATTGACGTTGTTGTTTCCCTCCCCCCCGAATTTGGTAAGACCAAACGTTTGGTTCATTGCAATTGCGAAGACAAGGAAAAGTACCAACCAGGTCGCAAGGAGGTTACCAATTGCCGTCAAACTAGCCGCGGCTGTCTTGAAAAGTTGATCAAGTTGGTTGTTCCTTGGGATAATCAAGAGGGTAACAGCCACAAGGAAGAGCTTGCTTAGCTCCACGATGACTTGCCGGTCTGACAAAAAGTTCAGGATTGTCATCACAATAGTACCAGGGATTACAAGCAACGAATAAAGGTCCCAGGAGCTTCTACTAAATCGATGCCAGCCCAGTCCTAACAGCCGGATAATGAGATTCGCGGCGTAGAAAAAGTTGAATATGAGAAACAATACATCTGGGAGGCAGGCCTCAAGTCAGTAATGTAAAGGGTCTTCCCGGGCATCTCGTCAAGCCACTCACCTCTGCAAAACTCGAAGATAAAGGGCTCCGGGTAGTATTCCAAAACCAGCAATAGAATATGAAGCACTAGTATCGTGGACACACATCTTGCCCATCGCCCATGTTTCTTAACGGCGATCCGATAACACCACATCTTCCACTTGTGGCTTTGTTTATCAAACGAGCGCTTAGAAGGCGATACTTGTTTCAGAAGTTTCCTCAACTCCAGCCAAGATCGCTGCTCGGCAGTAAGATACGCAACACCAGTCTGCTCTGTGTAGTTCCGCATGAAGACAGATACGAAAAGCGTCAGCACGAAAACTGCACCAAGCAAGTTGAATACAACGAAGAAAAGCCCGTTCTCCGGAGCGACCGAATCCTGCGGCTGCATGCCGATTCCAGTGATACTCATTGCGCTTGACTGCACATCCGTCCAACCTTCTTGAGACACAATCTGGAAGAGGATAAAGAGAGAGTTAAGAAAATTGTCAAAGTCATAGTATGGGTTCGATGCGGCCCGAGGTGCGAGTACGTCCCAGTTGTACGGAGAGCTAGAATACTCATTGATACACTGGTCCAAACTGCCTGTCATGTCTCCATCATTGCACTTAACCATTTGACCGGCAAACAAATTGACACCGTATATAGCAAATGGTATCAAAAAGCTCATCGAAACAGCAGCTGCCTCTATGACCTTCCATCCACCGACTATGATAACTGAATGGAATGTATCTTTGGCACTGTCACTGACATTCAACAGTCTAAGCGCCCTAAGGGCTTTGACAGCTCCGACAGATCGCGAGACAGCCCAATCTTCAAACATTGCACCCCCAACGTTGATCCAGAGGGTGATAAGTACAATGCCATCAATAAACCCCCACGAACTGCGGAAGTAGGCATTTGGTGTCCAGAAAAACCCATCCGCGATAACCTTGATAAGGGCTTCAAGTGTAAACAAAATCGCAAAGCCCATATCGGTATAAACGAACCACAGTCTTCGTGTAGGATAGTTCTCGCGTTGATAAATCGGTGTGGTGATGCAAGCAATAAGAACCATAGCAATAATGGCTGCATAGATGAACGCAGAGAATGCATACCAGACAGGTTTATAAGGGTCTACACCCTCGATGCGCTGGTGGCCACGCCCAGGACCCACAATGCGTTGGCATAACCTTCGGATAGGGTTATCTGGCGCAAAGATGAATAGAGATTTGTTATAGTTCGGGTGCCTCATGAGATACTCCCTCTGTGCTCGCTTCCTTTGTTCAGTGGCCGATACGACTTCCTTAGCCATTTCCCTCGGATCTAGCTCTTCATTTGCCCGAGAGAATTTGTTTAAGTTAGTATAGAATGGATTCGGCTCTCTGCGCATGATTGACGTTGAGATGGCAGTCCACATGCGCGAGAATTTGCCAGGCTGATCCGTCTCTTCTGTCACTGTCGTTTCCGCAGGTCCACTTTCTCTCCGTTGATGTTCGGCAGGCGCTTGCTGCTCGTCGAGGAACTCCTGCACAACAGCATCCTTTAGCAACATTTCTAGTGCCGCCGGTCCATAGTCTAGGGGCTCCTTGTAACGGTCTGAATTCCG